CTACGCCACAATCTCGTGGCCCAACACGAGCTCCAACAGACAGGCGTCACCACGATCTTCTCAGCACACTCGGATCACAGTGACCTCCTCGATCCTAAGTCCGACAAGCTCCTAGCACGCTTCACACTCAACAGCAGCAAGCTCTAAACGCTGCGCTCACCTGCACCTCTCGCCGCCCTCTCCCAAGCGCAAGCTGCCAACACCACTCCGTATTCCTGTCGCAGCTTTGCCAACCCAACCATCCTCTACCACCATCGCTTGGGTCACCCCAACTTCCGTACGCTTGCCGACATCGCTTCCAAGAAAACTAATTGGCCTCCCGTCGGCGCTTCCTCCACCAACAGACTCATCTGCACCCACCAGCCTCGATTGCACCAAGAGCAAGCTCAGGCAGCAGCCGCACCCTTCCTCCCCATCTGTAGAAGCTGCTTCGCTGGACCTAGTGCACATGGATGTCTGGGGCCCAGCTCCAGTCGCATCCCGAGGCAATCATCGGTACTTTCTTACACTAGTCGATGACCACTCGCGGTATGTTCCTATGCACCTCCTGCATACCAAGGCGGAGGCACCTGACCTCATCATGGCATGGGTGCGCCAGGCTCAAGTCACGTTCGGCACTCCTCTGAAGTGCCTCTATTCCGATGGCGGGGGAGAATTTCGCAATGGCAAACTCGATAACTTTTGCGCATCCCAAGGGATTCGGCCAACCTTCACGCTCCCCGAAAGCCCGCAGCAGAATGGCATTGCAGAGAGCCGCAACCACACCTTGGTTCAGATCGCTCGCTGCCTCCTCAGTCACGCCAACGCACCACGGTCACTCTGGGGATATGCCCTCTTCCATGCAGCTTTCCTCTACAATCTTTATCCGCATCCCCACCAGCCCGATACCACACCTACTACTCTCTGGCTTGGGGCCACGCCTTCCGCGCGCTCTCTACGCATCTGGGGGTGTACCGCTTATGTGTTGCTAAGCCCCCACACGTGCAGGAAGCAAGGTGGCAAGCTTGGTCCCAAAACCCAGACCTGCATGTACCTGGGGCACAACTCCGACTCCCCAGATTACTTATTCCTCAACCCCATCACCAGACAGCTGATTCGCAGCCGTGATGTCGTCTTCGATGAGACATGCCCCTTCCACTCTGCGACCACGGGCAAGCCTCCTCCACCTCCCCCAACGCTTGTATGGGCAGAATTCGATGCCCCACCTCCGGCCGCTGCCCCTTCTCCGCGGCCTTCTCCGTCCGGCGTGTCTCACCCGGCCTCCCCAGTATCCTCCGCAGCGGCACCTCCTCCTGCTCCGCCTTCCCCGCGCGTCGAGCATTTCACCAGTCTCCTACCGGAGGCGCCTAGTCCCTCCGGTCCCACCGCAACCGCCTTCGTCTTCGGTCTCTAGTCGCACTCGTTCCAAGGGATCGGCTCTGCCTCTTGCCCGGGGACCAGCCGCCTTCTCCTTCCGGTGTTCGGTCACCCCACCTCCTCCTGCCGGGGGTGATATCCCCTCCATCCATATTCCACCCCGTGCACTTCTGGAGGACAGGCATGAGGAGCTGTTTAACCTTTACGCGGTCTGCCAATTTCTCTCCCACATCTTCCCGGACATTACTAACTGCCCTTCCCTCAACTTTACAGATAACCCGACCATGTTAGAAATAGACTTCAAATCCCACTTTTGTATTTGTACTTTTATATCATAGTTTAGGTTATGAATGTTCTAGTGGGTTGGGGTGTACTCACAAATCGCAACCTCACCCAATTGTGATCCCCCCAATCTCTAATTATCCAATTGGAGATTTCGGAGATCCCAATGGGAATTCCCTCCGATTCCCCCCTTCATCCATTCTCTCTCACCTTGCCATCTTCTTTTAGAGCCTTGGGCTCCTTACCTAATTCATCATTTCAGCTCTATTTTTTACATGGTATCAGAGCAACCTATCCGCACACGCGGATCAAGGTCCTAATCTTAACGTGTCCGCGCTACGCGCACCTTCTCGTCGCGACATTCGTCTCAAGTCATCGGAATTTCGACGTGCTCCACTCTGCAGTTGCGCCTCTTATCGTCGACCGCCTTCGCGCTCGACCTCGTTGAATTTCTCATCTCTGAATCTTTCACGCTTCTCGTCATCGAGTTCCTCCTCGGTTCTCCTTGGTCGAATCTCAATTTCGACCATCTCTTAAAACTCGTTCTCGAGTTTCCCCTCAGACCCCGCCAGAATAGGCGGACTCCCCTCGCGAAATCGCCTCCATGAACGTCTCACGTCAAGCAAGAGCAGGTACACAGGTGGAAGCGGAGCGGAGCTGGTTGGGCAGCTGGTTGCGGAGCTGGTTGCGGAGCTGGTTGCGAAGCTGTGTAGCTGCGGGACAGGGCCTGGGGGTGTGTGGGGGGATGTGTGGGTACGGGGTTAGAGATAGTCTCAGATTCAGTTTCAAGTCGGCGTTTTAACGAATTTTCGCTGACGCCATTTCCTTCCTAACGGCATTTCGACGAAGCCATCGGAGTGGTTTTCAGCAATTCTTGTCGACTGATTTCCAGAAGTGACGCGCTGCGAACCGAAGTTCCTATCGGTCACTTAAGAGCTTCGCTTACTCAACCACTTCACTCGCCAACCCGATCCCGCTCCTTCGTCTCGAGCCGGATGGTACATGCTCCAACTACAAGGCTTGGCGCTATGGTGTCGACAAGCACCTTCTCAGTCGCGAGGTGAAGGGGCTCGAGCTCACCGACGTCCTTCTCAACATCGGTGACGGCAAAGAGCCTCCTAAACCCGAGAGGTCCGTCGATCCAGCTAATGCCACCGCCGAAGCCGTTTATGCTGCTGCACTGCTCAAGTACAAGAAATGGGAGAAGGCCGATGGTGCGGTCATTAGTGTCTTCATGGGCACCACTCCTCCCGAACTCGTCAAACCTACCACAACTACCCGTCTGCCAACGCCATTTGGCTCTACCTCGAAGACCGCTTCCTGAACAAGACTGCAGTGGGAGTTGCCATACTCATCCCCAGAATGTTCCAAGTGCGGCTCGAGGATTTGCCAGGCATGGCGGACTATGTCACCAAGGTGCAGTCCATTCATGGTGAACTCAAACAGTTGGGGATAGTCTTCCCCGAGCAAGCCCCTGCAGCCGCTCTCCTAGTCGGCCTCACTCCGGCATACGAAGTCACACGCAAGATGCTCTTGGGCCTTGCTCCTGCAGACCTCACATTTTCCAAGGTCTCATCCGCGCTCCTTTCTGCCGAAAAGGACAACAGCGCTCAAGCCAAGGCCAATGCAATCCGCGCTCCCGTGCCTCAGGGCTATGCTGCTTCGGCACCATTCTAGCGCAACCGCTACCCCTCGTGTCCCAACGTCATCAAGCACGGCCCTCGTGCCGGCCAGGTGTGTGGCGGCACCAACCACGCCATGCTTCAAGAAGAAGGATGACGAGTGGTATGCCGTCAATGGGACCGCCTCAAAGCCGCCAAGCTGCATGGTCAATCGTGCTCCTCGCAAGGTTAATCAAGTCGAAGTGCAGGAATCCGTGCACGCTGCTGTAGCTCCCCTTTCTGATGTGCGCCTCAACATGTTGTCCCCCGGCACTGACATGATCAACGAGACAATTTCGCAATGTCCCGGCTCACAAAGCACATGAGCCACAATAGAGTTCACCCTCGACAGTGGTGCCACTCACACTGTTCCCAAGGAAGAACACTCCTTCAAGCCATACAAGACACCAATCCCTCTACTAGGAGCAGACTCCTGTTTCACAACACACGCCAAGGGCTCCTCCACAGTTCCGTGCCCAGCTTTCCTTTCGGGCAGTGTCACCGGCATGTGTGTTCCCACACTACGCCACAATCTCGTGGCCCAACACGAGCTCCAACGGGCAGGCGTCACCACAATCTTCCCAGCACACTCGGTCACTGTGACCTCCTCGATCCTAAGTCCAACAAGCTCCTAGCATGCTTCACACTCAACAGCAGCAAGCTCTACACGTTGCGTTCACCTGCACCTCTCGCCGCCCTCTCCCAAGCGCAAGCTGTAAGAAATAGAGTTGAAATGATTGATTAGATAAGAAGCCCAAGGCTCTATAAGTACATGGCAAGGTGAGAGAGAATGGATGAAGGGGGAATTGGAGGGAATCCCCATTGGGATCTCCGGAATCTCCAATTGGGTAATTGGAGATTTTGGGGATCACAATTGGGTGAGGTTGGGATTTGTGAGTACACCCCAACCCACTAGAACATTCACAACCTAAACTAGGATATAAAAGTACAAATACAAAAGTGGTATTTGCAGTCTATTTCTAACACACCCCCATGGACTGCAAACCCGGTCAAGGAGCACATAGCCCCATGGAACGGAGAAGGCGATGGTGGTCAGCCTTGCCGAGAGCCTTGGTAAAGAGGTCGGCGAGGTTGCAATCTGAGGTGATGTACCGTACCGTCAGCTGGTCACTCTGAACAAGATCTCGGATGAAGAAATGACGAAGTTCGATGTGCTTGGTGCGAGAGTGAAACACAGGATCCTTGGTGAGATGAATGGCACTCTGGTTGTCACACCACAGGGTGGGCGACTGCTGGGGGTAGCCTAACTCAGCGAGGAGAAAGGAGAGCCAGCGTGCCTCTTGAGCAGCCATTGTGCCCGCGTAGAGCTCGGCCTCGCAGGACGACAGGGAGACTGCAGAGGACCGAGTGGAGCGCCAGCTGATGACTCCGCTACCAAGGGTGAAGCAGTACCCTTGGGAGTGTTAGGATTAAGGACGGAGTCTAGGTGAACTTAGGAGCTAGAATTACTCAAAATATAAATCCGAAATTCTGGACAGAAAAGTCGTCTTTACAAGAAACGACGTCGACGAAAAACTAGCCGTTGGAATGTCGCGAAACTTGGATATGTTGTAGCTCTTAATCTCAGCTACCGTTCCCAATTTGAATCACGTTGATTGATGAAGTATTCGCGACGCTATGGCTTTCGACGCATTAGGGGGTAAGCTGTAGGAGGAGAACTTAACTCAATCTCAAAGGTTCAATCAAAGTTCAAGAATCTCACAAGGAATTTAGAAGGAGCAAGAGAAAGGTTGGGATAGGAAGAGAGGGATGAGAGGGAAGGTCCCAAGAGAGTCCCCAACCAAGGAAACCCCATAAGCACAAAGATTCCCTCCCTATAGGAACCCCAACTTTGACATTTGTCCCTTCCCAACCAATCCATCCAAGTTGGCCACCCTTGCCAACCTAGCTTGGTTGTTCCCAACCAATTTGCAGCTGTTACAGTGAGTGACAAATTTCCCAAACCCCCAAAGGTCCCAACTCCATATAGAGTCACCCCACAACTTCACTTTGTAACCGCCGCAATTGTAACGCAAGCTCATGAACTTTGAATCTTCATAGCTTTCGCGTTCTTGCTCCGATTGAAGGGATTCTCGTTGCGTCGGAAAGATCTTCTCAAGATCTATCATCACAAAAAACCTGCTCAAACAAAATAACACAAAACACATTCCCAAACTCCAGAACACATCACACACAAATTCTTGCACACGTTCAAACCACACATGCAAGTTGAAAAAATATGGGATGGGAGGCAGACAGAATGTGATAGCATATGATGACATCACACAACAATCTCCCCCTCTGGCTGCCAACCATCATCCACCATACCAACATCTCAAGCATGCATACTCAATGCACACTCATCCCAGCAAGCTTCATGCCCTTCCAATGATCCGCCTCCGCCAGACGCTTGGTGAAAATATCTGCTGCCTGCTGATGGGTCTTCACTATCTCCAGCCGCACCTCCTTATCAAGGAGTCTCCTCACCCAATGCCACTTAGGCCTTATGTGTTTTGTCAGCCCATGCAGACAAGCATTCTTGGCGAGCTTCACAGCGGACTCATTGTCACAAAACACAACTGTCGGCTTCTCCTGACCAACTCCCAACTCCTCCAACAAACGCCTTAGCCACACTACTTCCTTGGCCCCATGGTGTAAGGCCATGTACTCAGGGATTGGTGCCCAGTAGCAGTGAGCGATCTCATCTTCCTCAATCTGCTCAACCACACTCCCAGCCTGCACCACATTCGGCTTGCCTCTTCCCCCATAGGTCAGCCTCACAGGAGGGCGCACATCCCTCCTAGGACGCTCAGGCGGGTGTGGAACTCGAGGTGGAGATTCATGCTGCTGCTGCTGCTCCACCTCAGCTGCTCCCCCTTCCTCAGTCACCCCAGACATCTCCTCCTCTGACACTGCAACCTCCACCTGTCTTGAAGGCTGCTGCAACTCATCTGCCTCCACAATGAGTGGTGTAGATGGAAGCTTCTGTTGCTGCTGCTTCCATTCCTTATAGTACAGGGACTCAAGAAACTTCACATCCCTTGACACTGTCAGCTTCTGGGTGGTCAGGTCCCATAGCAGCCACCCCTTGTGATCCTTTGCAATCCCCAAGTGCACACCCCATCTTCCAGAAGCCTCCAACTTCCCCCTTTTCTCCTTGGGCACATGAAACACCACCATGCACCCAAATGCCCTCAGCATGTTCACCGCTGGAGCACTCCCATACCACTTGGCATATGGGATCCACTCCTTATCTCCAACTGTAGCCAGCACCCTATTCTTCACAAGGGCGACCTGCCTCAGTGCAGACACCCAAAACGGATCAGGCAGCCCTGCACGCCCAAGGAGAGTGCGTGCCCCCTCCTGCAGGGTCCTGTTGAACCTCTCAGCCACGCCATTCTGCTGCGGGTTGTAGGGCACTGTCAGTTGATGTTGGATCCCCTTCCTCTTCAACTCCCCCTCAAAATCAGCTCCAATGAACTCCCCACCATTGTCACTACGGATCACCTTCACCTTGTGTCCGCATTCCCTCTGAGCTCTCGGCATCCACTCCTTAAGGACAGCCGCTGCCACCTCCCCCTTGCTGTTCAAAGGGTAAACCCACACTGCTCGAGTGTGGTCATCCACAATTGTCAAGAAATAGCGGCTGCCTGAGAGGGAAGGGGCTCTTGTGGGCCCCACCACATCCATATGCACAAGTGCAAGTGGGGTCTTGGCTGGTCCTGTAGTGCTGTTGAAGGGGAACTTGGAGAACTTGGTCTCCAAGCATGTAGGGCAGCTCCCAATCTCCTTCACTCCCCCTTTCACCTCCAAGCCCTTCAGGCTCCCATCCTTCACCAACTTCTGCAGCATAGGGAAGTTCACATGACACAGCCTCTCATGCCATGTCTCCCAATCGGCCTCTCCACTCCTTGGTGAAGCCTTAGCCCATGCCGCACTCGCATCCACACCAGCAAGCACCTCACCATGTGTCTGCTGCTTCTGCACTTTCTTGACTGCTTCCAGGACCCCATCAGTTGGTGCAGTTGCATCTCCTCCTGCTGTTGCCTTTGCCGCTGCTGCCGTTGCTGCTGTTGGAGTCTTCCCATTCCAAGGGATGATGGGCAGCTGCCACAGGTCCTTGATGCAGCTGGTCTCCTCTTCCAGACTCCACAGCACCTTCTTCCCAAGCTTAGCACGGCAGCTGGTTGGTCCAAAGGTCACTTCGGCCTTGCTCTTCTGCAGTCGTCGCACAGAGAGAAGGTTAGCAGACAAGCCTTTAACCAGCAGAACATTCCCAAGCCCCACAAGCTCCCCATTAGCTCCCTTAACCTTGGCATTTCCAACACCAATGACAGGGAGCAAAGCACCTGACGCTGCTGCCACATACTTGATCTTCCCAGGGGGTTTTACCTCATCAAGCAAATCTGCCCGTGGGGTCATGTGACTGGTGCAACCCGAATCAATCACCCAGTGCGTGAGAGGGTGCATCACAACCTTTCCCACAGATCCCACATCACCCTCATGCCCATGCACATCCTCAACCATAACAAACAAACCAGGATAGGCATTACCTTGTGCACCTTCACCTTGTGCACCTGAGCCTTGCACAGCGCCACCTTGTGCGCGTTCACCACTGGGCGGCTTCATGCCTGGAGGTGCCCATCCCTCCAGCCTGCTGAAGCACTTGAACCAAGGATGCCCAACCTTCTTGCAGTACCAGCAGGTGCCCTCCATTCTGGTACTCCCCCTGCCACTGGAGCTCCCATGCCCCTCATTATAGTCACCTCGGCCTCTACCTCTGCCAAAGCTTCTCCCACGGCCTCGGCCTTTCCAACCCCCTCTTCCTTGCCGCGCCCTGCAGCTCCATACCCCTCAGCAGTCTTAGTGGCAGCACCGCCTCCCACATGGCGTCTGCGGAAGTCCTCCTGCAGAATCTGCTGCCTTAGCCACTCAGGTGTCCATTGATCTTGCTGAGAGTTGAGGGTGGGGATGAGGTTGTCCCAAGAGTTGTCCAACACCGAGATGATCTTGGTGCACTGCTGCAGCTGAGATACACTGCTGCCCGCTGCTGCCATCCTTGCATAGGTGTCCTTGATCTTGTCAAGGACCGGCTTCACATCGTCCCCTGGTCGCATGGAGATGGCAGCAAGTTCCTTCTCGAGCACGATCACCATCAGGAGAGTGTTGGGCTGAATCACATCGCGTAGTAGTTTCCACGCCCTTGGACCCGAATCATCCGCTTCCACAAGATCCTTGATGTGCTCGAACATCTCCTTGTTGACCGATTGAAGGATGAGGTCGAAAAGCACCGTGCTTTTCTCAATCCACCGTTCACGTGCTTCGCCTTCTTCCGGCATCTTCTCTTCCCCAACAGCAATCTTCAGTAGCTTGTAGCGTTTGAAGGCACTTCTCATCCGTCCGCTCCATTCCTCATAGTTGGAGCCATCCAAAGCTTCAACTTTTGATGGCGGCGGTTCACTTGTCTTCTCAGCTACAGCTCCTCTTCCATTAGCATCTCCTCCTCTCTCATTCATCTTCTCCTTGAGAAATGACGAATTTCAGCCCCCCTTTGCTGTCCACACTCAGCTCCCTCGATATTTTCACAAGTGTCGGCGTCCACGAAATTTCGGCAGAGTTTCCCTTAGCGGAAGACACATCCAACCTTTAGAACACCACTTAGGCACACCCACAGGCCATGGTGGGTCTAGAAGGGTCTTCACACTTCTGTAGACTCCTCTCAACGTCCTTAATACAGCTCTGATACCACTTGTTAGGATTAAGGACGGAGTCTAGGTGAACTTAGGAGCTAGAATTACTCAAAATATAAATCCGAAATTCTGGACAGAAAAGTCGTCTTTACAAGAAACGACGTCGACGAAAAACTAGCCGTTGGAATGTCGCGAAACTTGGATATGTTGTAGCTCTTAATCTCAGCTACCGTTCCCAATTTGAATCACGTTGATTGATGAAGTATTCGCGACGCTATGGCTTTCGACGCATTAGGGGGTAAGCTGTAGGAGGAGAACTTAACTCAATCTCAAAGGTTCAATCAAAGTTCAAGAATCTCACAAGGAATTTAGAAGGAGCAAGAGAAAGGTTGGGATAGGAAGAGAGGGATGAGAGGGAAGGTCCCAAGAGAGTCCCCAACCAAGGAAACCCCATAAGCACAAAGATTCCCTCCCTATAGGAACCCCAACTTTGACATTTGTCCCTTCCCAACCAATCCATCCAAGTTGGCCACCCTTGCCAACCTAGCTTGGTTGTTCCCAACCAATTTGCAGCTGTTACAGTGAGTGACAAATTTCCCAAACCCCCAAAGGTCCCAACTCCATATAGAGTCACCCCACAACTTCACTTTGTAACCGCCGCAATTGTAACGCAAGCTCATGAACTTTGAATCTTCATAGCTTTCGCGTTCTTGCTCCGATTGAAGGGATTCTCGTTGCGTCGGAAAGATCTTCTCAAGATCTATCATCACAAAAAACCTGCTCAAACAAAATAACACAAAACACATTCCCAAACTCCAGAACACATCACACACAAATTCTTGCACACGTTCAAACCACACATGCAAGTTGAAAAAATATGGGATGGGAGGCAGACAGAATGTGATAGCATATGATGACATCACACAACAGGGAGGAGCATCTGTCAGTGCTTGTAGATAGCGGAGGACCCTCTTGGCTGCAGACCAATGCGAGGCAGTGTAGCGTCCGGGGGAGACGTACCGAGAGAGGACACTAACCGGGTAAGCCAAGTCTGGTCGAGTGCACATCATGGCATACATGAGTGAACCGACTAGCTCAGGGTACGGGTCCTTGCAGGCGTCAGGAGAAGGAACTGGAGGGGCCGTGAGCTGATGCTGTAGTGGGAGTGGAGTGGAGACAGAGTTACTGGAGTCCATGTCGAACCGCTTGAGAAGGTTGTCGATGTAGGACTCCTGGGAGAGGGTGATGGTGCAAGCTTGGCGGTCATGAGTGATCTCCATCCCCAGGTAGTTCTTGAGGTCACCAAGATCCTTCATGAGAAGGGCGGAGCTGAGAGCGGACTGGACAGCTGCCATGTCGGCTGGATCTTTGGCGGCTAGAATGAAGTCATCGACGTAGATGAGGATGTAGAAGGGCTCGGAGGAGTGACGAACGAAGAGACTGGAATCTGAGGCAGAGGGATGGAAGTCAAGTGCGAGGAGGACTTCCTTCACCTTGTTGTGCCACTCACGAGGAGCCTGCTTGAGGCCATACACTGGGCGCTTCAGCTTCCACACTGTGTTGGCAGGGTAAGTGCCAGGAAACCCCGGTGGGCGTTCCATGTGAACATCCTCCTTGAGCTGGCCTTGGAGAAAGGCGGAGGAGGCGTCCATGGACTTGATCTCGAAGTTGCCGCGAGCGGCTATATCAAGAAGAGCGCGCACAGTCGGGAGCTTGGCCGTGGGCGAGAATGTTTTGAAGAAGTCGAGATACTCCTTCTGGGTGAAACCCTTCGCCACGTATCGTGCCTTGAACAGTGGAGCTTCGCCTGGGAGTTGTTTGACTCGAAAGATCCATTTTCCGCCGACGATGTTGACACCGGAAGGGGGAACAACACCGTCAAAGCTGTTGTTGCGAATGAACGCCTCGTTCTCCACATCCATTGATGCCTTCCACTCCTTCTTATAAGGCCCCGAGAGAGCTTCCTCTTTTGTGCGAGGAGTCGGAATGGTCGGGTTCTCGGTGAAGTTGAGGGAAGGGCAGTCAGTAATGTCCGGGAAGATGTGAGAGAGAAATTGGCAGACCGCGTGAAGGTCAAACAGCTCCTCATGCCTGTTCTCCAGAAGTGCACGGGGGGGAATACGGATGGAGGGGACATCACCCCCGGCAGGAGGAGGCGGGGTGACCGAACACCGGATGGAGAAGGCGGCTGGTCCCCAGGCGAGAGGCGGAGCCGGTCCCTTGGAACGAGTGCGACTAGAGACCGGAGACGAAGGCGGCTGCGGTGGGACCGGAGGGACTGGGCGCCTCCGATAGGAGACTGGTGAGCCGGGCTCGACGCGCGGGGAAGGCGGAGCAGGAGGAGGTGCCGCTACGGAGGATACTGGGGAGGCCGGGTGAGACACGCCGGACGGAGAAGGCCGCGGAGAAGGGGCAGCGGCCGGAGGTGGGGCATCGAAGTCTGCCCAAACAAGCGTCGGGGGAGGTGGAGGAGGCTCGCCCGTGGTCGCAGAGTGGAATGGGCGTGTCTCATCGAAGACGACATCACGGCTGCGAATCAGCTGTCTGGTGATTGGGTTGAGGAATAAGTAGTCTGGGGAGTCGGAGTTGTGCCCCAGGTACATGCAGGTCTGGGTTTTGGGACCAAGCTTGCCACCTTGCTTCCTGCGCGTGTGGGGGCTTAGCAACACATACGCGGTACACCCCCAGACGCGTAGAGAGCGGGCGGAAGGCGTGACCCCAAGCCAGAGAGCGGTAGGTGTGGTGTCGGGCCGGTGGGGATGCGGATAAAGATTGTAGAGGAGTGCCGCATGGAAGAGGGCATATCCCCAGAGTGACCGTGGTGCCTTGGCGTGACTGAGGAGGCAGCGAGCGATCTGAACCAAGGTGTGGTTGCGGCTCTCTGCAATGCCGTTCTGCTGCGGGCTTTCGGGGAGCGTGAAGGTTTGCCGAATCCCTTGGGCCGCACAGAAGTTATCGAGTTTGCCATTGCGAAATTCTCCCCCGCCATCAGAATGGAGGCACTTCAGAGGAGTGCCGAACGTGACTTGAGCCTGGCGCACCCACGCCATGATGACATCAAGTGCCTCCGCCTTGGTATGCAGGAGGTGCACAGAAACATACCGCGAGTGGTCATCGACTAGTGTAAGAAAGTACCGATGACCGCCTCGGGATGCGACTGGAGCTGGGCCCCAGACATCCATGTGCACTAGGTCCAGCGGAGCAGCTGCGACGGATGGGGAGGAAGGATGCGGCTGCTGCTTGAGCTTGCTCTTGGTGCAGTCCAGGCAGGTGGGTGCAGGTGAGTCTGTTGGTGGAGGAAGCGCCGACGGGAGGCCAAGAAGAAGTTTCTTGGAAGCGATGTCGGCAAGTGTACGGAAGTTGGGGTGACCCAAGCGATGGTGGTAGAGGATGGTTGGGTTGGCGAAGCTGCGACACGAACACGGAGTGGTGCTGGCAGCTTGCGCTTGGGAGAGGGCGGCGAGAGGTGCAGGTGAACGCAGCGTGTAGAGCTTGCTACTGTTGAGTGTGAAGCGTGCTAGGAGCTTGTTGGACTTAGGGTTGAAGAGGTCACAGTGATCCGAGTGTGCTGGGAAGATCGTGGTGACGCCTGCCCGTTGGAGCTCGTGTTGGGCCACGAGATTGTGGCGTAGTGTGGGAACACACATGCCAGTCACACTGCCCGAAGGAAAAGCTGGGCACGGAACTGTGGAGGAGCCCTTGGCGTGTGTTGTGAAACTGGAGTCTGCTCCTAGTAGACGGATTGGTGTCTCGTATGGCTTGAAGGAGTGTTCTTCCTTGAGAACCGTGTGAGTGGCCCCACTGTCGAGGGTGAACTCTATTGTGGCTGAGGTGCTTTGTGAGCCAGGATACTGCGAAATCGTCTCATTAATCATGGCAGTGCCAGGGAACAACACGTTGAGGCGCACATCAGTAGGTGCAGCCACAGCAGCCTGCACGGATTCCTGCGCTTCGACTTGATTGACTTGTCGAGGAGCACGATTGACCATCCAGCTTGGCGGCTTGGAGGCGGTCCCATTGACGGCATACCACTTATCATCCTTCTTCTTAAAGCAGGAGGCAAGGCCGTGGTTGGTGCCGCCACACACCTGGCCAGCACGAGGGCCGCGCTTGATGACGTAGGGACACGGGGGGAAGCGGTTGCGCTGGAATGGCACCGAAGCGGCATAGGCTTGAGGCACGGGAGCGCAGATTGCATTGGCCTTGGCTTGAGCGCTGTTGTCCTTTTCGGCAGAAAGGAGCGCGGATGAGCCCTTGGAAAATGTGAGGTCTGCAGGAGCAACGCCCAAGAGCATCTTGCGTGTGACTTCGTATGCCGGAGTGAGGCCGACTAGGAGAGCGGCTGCAGGGGCTTGCTCGGGGAAGACTATCCCCAACTGTTTGAGTTCACCATGAATGGACTGCACCTTGGTGACATAGTCCGCCATGCCTGGCGAGTCCTCGAGCCGCACTTGGAACATGCTGGGGATGAGTATAGCAACTCCCACTGCAGTCTTGTTCAGGAAGCGATCTTCGAGGTAGAGCCAAATGGCGTTGGCAGACGGGTAGTTGTGGTAGGTTTCGACGAGTTCGGGAGGAGTGGTGCCCATGAAGACACTAATGACCGCACCATCGGCCTTCTCCCAATTCTTGTACTTGAGCAGTGCAGCAGCATAAACTGCTTCGGCGGCGGCATTAGCTGGATCGGCGGACCTCTCGGGTTGAGGAGGCTCTTTGCCGTCACCGATGTTGAGAAGGACGTCGGTGAGCTCGAGCCCCTTCACCTCGCGACTGAGGAGGTGCTTGTCGACACCATAGCGCCAAGCCTTATAGTTGGAGCATGTGCCGTCCGGCTCGAGACGAAGGAGCGGGATCGGGTTGGCGAGTGAAGTGGTTGAGTAAGCCATAGTCGGTGTGCAGCGCGGCACTTCTGGAAATTGGTCGACGAGAATTGCTGAAAATCACTCTGACGGCTGTATCAAAATGCCGCTAAGTAGGAATTGGCGTCCGCGAAAATTCGTTAAAACGCCGACTTGAAACTGAATCTGAGCCTATGTCTAACCCCGGACCCACACACCCCCCCACACACCCCCAGGCCCTGTCCCGCAGCTACACAGCTCCGCAACCAGCTCTGCAACCAGCTCCGCAACCAGCTCCGCAACCAGCTCCGCAACCAGCTCCGCTCCGCTTCAACCTGTGTACCTGCTCTTGCTTGACGCGAGACGTTCGTGGAGGCGATTTTGCGATGGGAGTTTGCCTATTCTGGCGAGGTTTGAGGGGAAACTCGAGAACGAGTTTTAAGAGATGGTCGAAATTGAGATTCGACCAAGGAGAACTGAGGAGGAAATCGACGATGAGAAGCGTAAAAGCTTCAAAGATGAGAAATTCAACGAGGTCGAGCGCGAAGGCGGTCGACGATGAGAGGCGCGACTGCAGAGTGGAGCACGTCGAAATTCCAACGACTCGAGACGAATGTCGCGACGATGAAGTGCGCGTAGCGCGGGCACGTTCAGATTAGGACCTTGATCCGCGTGTGTGGAT